GTGTATTTTTAAAAAGGATCTTTAATGATTCTCCTAATTCATAAACGCCTCCTGTTCTTTGCCATTTAAACAAGTGATTCAGGCCAATTATACTTTAAGACAGACCATGATGATTATTAAAATAAAGATCTTTGGGACCCCTGGGAGGCGCAGCAGTTTAGCGCCTGCCTTTAGCCCAGGGCGCTATCCTGAAGACCTGGGATCGAATCCCACGTCGGGCTCCCGGTGCATGGAGCCTGCTTTTCCCTCTGCTATGTCTCTGCCTCTCTCTCTCTCTCTCTCTCTCTCTCTCTGTGTGTGACTATCATAAATAAATTTAAAAAAAAAAATAAAGATCTTTTTTCCAGGGCAGCTCTGGTGGCTCAGAGGTTTAGCGCCGCCTTCAGCCCAGGGTATGTTCCTAGAGACCCTAGATCAAGTCCCATGTCAGGCTCCCTGCATGGAGCCTGCTTCTCCCTCTGCCTGTGTCTCTGCCTCTCTCTCTCTCTGTGTCTCTCATGAATAAATAAATAAAATCTTAAAAAAAAAAAAAAGATCTTTTTTCCAATGGAAACAAACACTGAGATTTTTATGTATTCCACTCTGGAAGAATGTAATCTCTATAAATCAAGGGCACTATAGTGTAATGTGATTATAAAGAAGAATACTTTTTTTTTTAAGATTTTATTTGTTGATTCATGAGAGGTACAGAGAGAGGCAGAGACACAGACAGAGGGAGAAGCAGGCTCCCTGTGGGGAGCCAGATGCAGGACCCCATCCCAGGTACCTGGGACCCCTGGACCACGCCCTGAGCTGAAGGCAGAGCTCAACCCCTGAGCCACCCACCCAGGCGTCCCGAGAAGAAAATTGCATTATGAGAAGGCTGCACAAACTTACATTTGCTTTTATTGAATCTTTAGCTTCTATATATGCATGTCCAACCTGGCCAAAGCACAATGGTAACCTCAGATGATTTCCATGCAACCATTCCACAGAGTTAGTGATTCTGCCTCCAATGAGGGAAATTGTGTTTTTAAAGGGTGACAAATCTTCAGTTATTAAGGAAACTCACCTATTCAACACATTGGAAGTCCTAACATGTAGCCCAGTGCATAGCAAATTAATAAATGTTGCTTGGCTGAGTAAATGAAGGATTATTACCTTCACTAGATTTTAAGTTCCTTGAGGTCAGAGACCACATACTTGTAACAAGTACTTGGTAAATAGATAAAAAAGGAATGAAACTAGTAATTGGGTGGTACCATGGTAGCCTCCGGCGGTGAGAACCCTGTTATTCATGGTCTTTTATCACCCTCTGGTGGGGAAGGGCAGGGCATGGTCCTCCAATGCCCTTAAACCTCCTGTTTTTCAAACTACAGAACCCATTTGTGCGTTGTAAAATCAGTTCGATGGGTCATGATCAGCATTTCTAAAAATTGAATTTGTAACTCAAGAGAATATATCAGAACATCTCATACATAGCAGAGGCAAATTCCGTCAGTAACTATCATAGAGCTATATTTACAGCTATGTCTTTGTATCTCTTAGTGGGTATATTCACTCATATGCTACATATACATTTTTATGTGTATCCTGGATTACAGCCAGTGATTTATTGATAAATGTTTAACAGCTAGCTCTCTAAGAAAATGTATAAGGGTATATGTGCATAGCTCTATCATAGTTTTCTTAATATAAAGTAGCATATAATTTACAGACAATAAAATACATAAATATTGTTTACTGTAAATTTTATATAGTAAATTGATTCTCACAGAATGCTTTCACTGATTTTTGCTGGACTCTTGTATCTATAAACAACTTAGTTTGAACCATACTTGACAATGGAGTTGCATCTCAATCTAGACAATGAACAGACCAAATGAAGCCCTGATTTATAGTAATTGCCACTTTCACTGGTGTAAAGACTTCCATCATGGCTAGTTTCAAGCTACCAGGGTAATGCTGCTGAACTCACAATTGGGAAAATTGCACTGTAATATGCCCTACAGTTACAATGGATGTAAGTAATCCCAAGAGCATAGGTAAATAAGGGCATATAGTAAAAAGATTAAGAGATAATTAGTTTGGAATTATTATTATTATGTTGAGTTTGTTAGTTTATATAATGTAATTTTAAATAATGGCTGTGTTTAAACAGTCAGCTTGCGGAAGTCCTGAAAGCCTAACAATCTGCTCTCCTAGGCCTGAATGGGTTGGCTCCAGCCTACCAATGGACTCACAAAAGAAACATAAATTTTTTTAAAGATTTATTTATTTATTTATTCATGATAGACAGAGAGAGAGAGAGAGAGGCAGAGACACAGAAGGAGGGAGAAGCAGGCTCCATGCCGGGAGCCTGACATGGGACTCGATCCGGGGACTCTAGGATCGCGCCCTGGGCCAAAGGCAGGCGCTAAACCACTGAGCCACCCAGGGATTCCAGAAACATAAATTTTCTAATATGGGTTGAAGTTGAAAGAAAGGAAGAAGAAAGACAGAAAGAAAGAGAGACAGACTTCTCTAGAGACCTACAATTTTTCAGGTCTGGGTTTAACCTAGTCTTCAAAATTCTCCAGGGATGAAGTTACATAGGCTCCTAAGTGGAAACCCAAATCCTTTCTACAGAAGTACAAATCCTGAAAGTTTCAGGAGGTATATTTTTGAAAGTTCATTTGGGTGATGTCTGAACAGAGTTTCTATTCACCCAGCACCATTTCACCTTTTCTTGGGGTGGAAGGGCAGCATCTGGATTGTCACTGATGAAACCATTTTATTTTATTTTATCTTTTTTTTTAAGATTTTATTTATTTATTCATGACAGACACACAGAGAGAGAGGCAGAGACACAGGCAGAGTGAGAAGCAGGCTCCATGCGGGGAGCCTGACGTGGGACTCGATCCAGGGTCTCAAGGATCACACCCCAGGCTGAAGGCAGCGCTAAACCGCTGGGCCACTGGGGCTGCCCTGATGAAACCATTTTAATAATGTCCAGTGTACCTCCCTGTTCTTCACCATAATGGAGTTTGCTATGCAAAATAACAATAATTGAGCACCTGCCAACCTTCAGAACATAGAGATGGTTTCAGATACTATTTACAAGCTGCCTTCACTAATAACACCTTTCAGTTGTGTAGTTTTTATTTCCAATCATGAGAAACCAAAGTGGTGTGATCACCATTATATTTTCTTTTTAAAACATAACTTTTTGAAAACCCAGAGACATCTTGCTATGGAAGAACCCTGATTAGATAAATGCAAATTTACAGATATGAAGATCATCTTAAGATGGTTTTAAGGAATTAATGCTTTTAGTCTCATTAATTAATTCTCTGCATGAGAGTTTAAACATCAGTCCATGATAGGTATAAATCAGGCCAGTGTTTCCCAAAGTTTGGCAGCTATCATTGATTTAGGGGCATGAGATTATTCTAGGCAGCTAGCGATGACAAATATTTCAATATAAATGTTTTATTTGTAATAGAATAAATATAACTGGCATACACAATCCATGATTTCAAGGATATGTTTGGCTTGGGAGGCTATTCAGTAGGCATTTAAGTTTGAAATGTGTGCTGTTTAAAGGAAAGCTTTAAGTAAATAGAGTATTGATGGTGTATGGACATAGCAAGAGCACTTAAGGTGGCTGTAATGGCTTGAACGGTGATTCCCAAAAAGATATGCCTTAACCCCTGGCACTTGGGAATGTAACCTTATTTGGAAGTAGGGTCTTTGCTGATATAATTAAGGATCTCAAATGAGATTATCTTGGATTTAGGGTGGACCCTAAATTCAGGGACTATTGTCCTGATAAGAGACAGAAGGAGAGAGACACACAGAGGGGAGAAAGCCACATGCTGAGGGAGGCAGAGACCGGAGTTATACAGCTACAGGCAAGAAACAGCAGGATTGCTAGCAGCCACCAGAAGCTAGGAGAGAGGCATGGACAAGAGGCTCTCTCAGAGGCTCTGGAAGGAACCCACCCTGACAACAGCTTGGGGCTTCTGGCTTCCAGAACCGTGAAAAAATAAATTTTGGTTGTTCTAAGCCAAGCAGTTCGCAGCAGTTTGTTAAGGCTGTCCTAGGGCACTGATACAATGGGGGAGGGGAGCCTGAAGTTTGGGAAACCCTGAATCAGGCATCCAGCCATGATGGGGGTGAGAGCTTAGCTCTGTGATAAACTGAATGACTGAGGCACTGACACCCTCATCTAATCTTTACCCCCAGAGTCCAGCATTTTCACTCAATACAATAGTTGTTTCAAAAGTTTCTAAAAAGGGCACCTGCGTGGTTCAGCCCTTGAGCCCTTGCGGGTCTGCCTTTGGCTCAGGTAATGATCCCGGGGTCCTGGGATTCAGTCCTGCATCAGGCTCCCCGTTTGGTGGGGAGCCTGCTTCTCCCTCTGCCTATGTCTCTGCCTCTCTGTGTGTGTTTCTCATGAATAAATAAATAAATAAATAAATAAATAAAACCCTTTAAAAAAATAAATGTTTCTTAAAATTTAATAACGTAACATTTAAATTGGGTTTGTTTTAAGCACTTCTATTAAAAAAAAAAAGTAAATCTCATTTCCCTATACCTGGGTCACCGTAATGACCTGGGCTTCATGGACTAACTCTCGGGAAGTGCTGAACTCCTCCTGTCTCCCCATTCTACAGATGAGAAAACTGAGGCACAGATGGAGCAGGTGTCTCCCAGCTTCCGAGAGAGAGACTAACCGATGCCGTGACCACTGCTCTAACTCCCACAGTGCTGCAGTTCTTCTTCCCCATCTCCAGCAAATACTCGCTGGAGCGTTTTTTTCCCCCAGACCCAGGGCAAGACTCCGCTCCTGCCTGCCGCCTGGCGCCCGCGCTGGGAGAAGGGAGAAGGGAGAAGGGAGAAGGGAGAAGGGGGGGCCGCGGGGTTCGGAACGGGACGCGCTGCAGAGGCGGCCGGTGGCCGAGAGGGGGAGCGCGAGCGCTCCCGGGGGGGGGGGGGCGGGGCTCGCGGGCAACGCGCATGCGCCGGGGGGAGGCCGCGGCTTCGGGGCGAAGCGCAAGACGGTGGCCGGGAAGCCGCGGGGAGGCGGACGGTGGCCGACGAGGTCCGGCATGGAGCACCTGGAGCGCTGCGCGAGGCTCCTGCGGGGGACGCTGGTGCGAGCGGCCGTGCGGCGCTACCTGCCCTGGGCGCTGGCGTTCTCCATGCTGGCGGGCTCCGTCCTCAAGGAGCTCTCCCCGCTGCCCGAGAGCTACCTCAGCAACAAGCGCAACGTTCTCAACGTGTAAGTGAGCCCCGGGGCCGCCGCCGACCCGGTCCGCAGAGCCGGGCTTTAGCGGCCCCGACGGGCGAGCCGTCGGCCGGGGGGCACGCGCGTGGCGACCGCAGGGACCCGCGAGCGGCTGCTGTCACCCGCAGCTGGGGTTGCACGCCCGGATGAGCCAGCCCGAGCTGCCCGGGCGGGGAGCGACGGGCGGGGCCGTGTGTGGTGGGGGGACGGGGTGGGGGGGCGTCGGGTGAGCCTCGGTCCCTGCGCCCCCCACCTCCCCTTGGAATCGGAGTCGGCCGGGACCTGTTGGGGGGTGTAGGCCTCCCCCGTCCTCCCCACCCCTCCCCGCCTGTGACCGTATCCCATCACCACCCAGCCAAAGACCTGCCTCCTCCTGGGCCCCCAGCCCCGGCGAGCCGGCCCCGGCCTGTGAAGGAACCCTCGCTCCCAGCTAGTCCCGGAGATGCCGAACCCTCCAGCCTCCGACCTTTACCCTCCATGACCCTGCATCTCCTTGGACCTTCTCAGCCGCCCAAAGTCCTTGGCAGTAGCCCAGGAAAGCAACCAGCTGGGCTCTTTGAGACATCTTAACTCCACCCACTCACGCCCTTTCTCTCTCTCTCTCTCTCTCTCTCTAACTGGTGGCTTTCAAGAGTCTTGCACAAAAACAGTGTTGCATTAGTGAAGTCATAAAACTGCCTTGAAGGGAGCTTAGATTCCTCCTTAGAACAGCAGACTTACAGCGTCTCCCCAAAGGCAGCCCAGCTTTGCTTCATCTACTCAGAACCCTGGTTTCTCTCCCCAGCAGTTTTGTCAAGTGCCTGACAGGTCTGGCCCTGGCAAGGTCCTTGCATATATCATCAGCCCCAGGGAAGATGGGAGTGACAGGCTCTGGAGTGGTGTCCAAGCAGCGATTGGAACCCAGGAAAAAGTCGTCCTGTCCTTGACTCCCCCTTCCCTCCTCACCCACCCCCCCACCCCCCACCCCCCACCCCCGGGGCTGCACTAAGAATAGATGATGATGATGAGTGTGGTTGTAGCCCCAAGTCTCCCGCCCGTGTGTTTTCCGTGGCTGGTCCCCAGGTCAGCCACCCCTGATGAGCAAGGGGAGGCAGACAGGCAGCTGCCACTTCATCTGGCTCCGGGTGAGCTGGGGACCCAGTGGCCTGGCAGACAAGTACCTGTTTGTGGGTAGCCATGGATTCTGACATTTTGTTCCAAGCCTCTGTGCTAATTGGAGGGAACCACTGAACCATTGGCTGTGGGAGGGATTTTTTAAAAAAAATCACTCGGTCTCCTTAGCTCTATTTTACAGCTAGGAACACTAAAGCCTGGAGAAAGTGATCAGAGCAAGTTGAGTGAGAGTCAAGACTTGAACCCAGTCTTTTTTTTTTAATTTTTTTTTTTAGAAAGATTTTATTTCTTTATTCATGAGAGACACACAGAGAGAGGCAGAGACACAGGCAGAGGAAGAAGCAGACTCCCTGCAGGGAGCCTGATGCGGGACTCGATTCCAGGACTCCAGGATCTTGCCCTGAGCCAAAGGCAGACATTCAACCACTGAGCCACCCAGGTGCCCCGAACCCGGTCTTCTAGCTTGAACTCAAGCTCTGTTCTGAGATCATTGCTGCCATGTAAGAAAGAGCCACAAGTAGAAAAATCACGGGCTTTGGGGCTGGCCAAACCTTGATTTACTCCGGGCTTGCTGGTGGTGTGATTGTGACCCTGGGCAAAGTTACTGAACTTTCCTGAGCCTCACCTTCTCTAGAAAATGGTGGCAAATGAGACCTTCTTCTCAGGGTAGCCATGAATATCTTGTGTGTCCACCATCCCAGGGCCTGGATCACAGATTAAGATCACAAGCCCTGGAATCCAATCCTAGCTCCACCGCTTATGATCTCTACTTTGGGTATGATACTTCTGTACCTCAGCTTTCTTACCTGTAAAATGAGTATCATAACAGTACCTACCTCGCAGAGCTGTTTAAGGAGTTACTACATTTGGAACTTAGTAAGTGAAGTTGTTATCTGTAGTTTTTATCAGCTTTTCTTATTTCCCCTCCCTTGAGACTCTAGAGACCCAGTCATGACATAGTTTCCTCTCTACCGTGTCCCCTCTCTTCACTTCCACTTTCCTCTCCTGCCAGATATTTTGTCAAACTGGCCTGGGCCTGGACCTTCTGTCTCCTCCTGCCTTTCATTGCCCTCACCAACTACCACCTGACAGGCAGGGCTGGCCTGGTCCTGCGGCGGCTGAGTACCCTGCTGGTGGGCACGGCTATCTGGTATGTCTGCACAGCCATCTTCTCCAACATCGAACACTACACGGGCAGCTGCTACCAGTCACCAACCCTGGAAGGGGTCAGAAAGGAGCACCAGAGTAAGCAGCAATGCCACGGGGAAGGAGGCTTTTGGCATGGCTTTGACATCTCAGGCCACTCCTTCCTGCTGACCTTCTGCGCCCTTATGATTGTGGAGGAGATGGCCGTGCTGCATGAACTGAAGATGGACCGAAGCCACTGTCTCCACACTGCCATCACCACCCTGGTGGTGGCCCTGGGCTTCCTGACCTTCATCTGGGTATGGATGTTTCTGTGCACGGCCGTTTACTTCCACAACTTGTCCCAGAAAGTATTTGGTACCCTCTTTGGTTTGCTGGGCTGGTATGGGACCTACGGGTTTTGGTATCTGAAATCTTTTTCCCCAGGACTTCCTCCCCAGACCTCTAGTTTGAATTCGAAGCAAGATAGTTATAAGAAATAAAAGCAAAACAAAAGGGGTGATAGTAGGACAATGGCTAATATATATATTTTTCATTATTTTTATTAGTTATTTGACTAAACTTTCAATCCTGCTTCAGAGAGGAAGCTTACCAGGCAGTTTTGGGGAGCGGTGGTGGAGGCTGGGGAGTGAGTTTAACTCCCACACTTCTTGGCCATGTCACTTTGTGTCACAAGCACCACCATTCCCAGTCAGGCACTTTCTATCCCTGGCAAGACTTGACCTTAATCTGGAATGTTCCTTTTGTCTCTAGAGGGCAGAGCTAAGGCTCAGTGAGAGGACAGAATCAGGAAAGCCTCTGCTGTGTGGCCAAAGTGGAGGCCAGGGCCTCAAGACCCTTCTCCGCTGCTGTCATTCTCTCCCTGATTCTGGGTGTCTTGTATTGTAATGGCTGTTAACACTGTGGTTTAACAGTATTGCCCTCTGGTCAGTTTTGCATAAGCACTTATTTCCAGCAGGGTTTTTTATAAAACAGCCAGCTGCCTGAAAGACACTCTCCGGTCATGGTATTCATTTATCCTCAGAATGTTATATATTGCAACTGACTTGTGATTAGTTACCAAAATAGTTAAACTGGAGTGCCTCTCTGGCTGAGTGTTGGGTGATATTTATGTAACGAACATTGCTGGTTTACTGTCCATGTTGTCTATTGTGTATTGGTTTTTGGAACAATAAGGTTACCTTTTTTCCCTATTATTTTGAGCAAATGCTTGATTGTTTTTAATAACAACTATGGCATTTGCTCTTTATTGACAAAACCCCTGAGAGTAACCCACAACTTCAGGGCTTCACTTTGGTACATGTGTGGATAGATTTGAGTTTTTGTTTTTGTTTTTTTTAGAACACTAATTTACTTTTTATAATCCAAACTCTTGGCTTATGGTATTAAATTTCACCTCACTTTATGGGCTGTTTTCTCTATTAAAAATAGAAGCCGGGGTGCACGGCTGGCCCAGTTGGTTAAGTGTCTGTCTTGGGCTCAGGTCATGATCTCAGGGTCCTGGGTTCGAGCCCCACATCTGGCTCTCTGCTCAGTGGGGAGCCAGCTTCTCCCTCTCCCTCTGCCATTCCTCCCTGCTTGTGTTCTCTCTCTCCTCTCTCTCTCTCTCTCTCTCTCTCCCTCCCCCTCTCCCTCTCTCCCCTTCAAAGAAATAAATAAAATCTTAAAAAAAAATTAAGAATAAATCCCAAAGGCAGACATTTTAATAACAACTGGATGAATTTTAAGCTGAGTCAGAGTAACTTTGCAAAATGCATACTTGCACTGACACTTTCCTGACCACACATCAGTGGTATAATCTGAACAGTGTGCTGATAAGCTCATTGATCGGTCTGCAGTGGCCCAAGGAATTTTTACATTTGGACGAGATTATGATAAATCAGAGGTGAAGGAAAATGTCTTTCATTACCTCCAATGGCAAGAAGCCAACCCATTTGCAAAAATGTCCCTATTTAATATTGGAGTGACTTTGGCCCCCACCCTCCTACTTATACCAACACCAGACCAAACCTGGGCCTGTTCAACTGGCCTTGAAATCAATCTTTTCTGTCCCCTTTGCACACTTCTCAATATCCAGCCTTGTCCTTCTGTGGCCTGTCACCTCCACCCACAAAGGTGCTGTTACAGCTCTGTTGATAGGACAGCCTGCCACCCACTGGCCCACGCAGGCTGCGTCCTTAGGCCTTCTGTACCCATCCCCTTGCACTTTGGGTAATCATCCTGGAAGCTTCCTTGATGTTCCTCCTCTCCCCACACCAAGTTAAGCCTGATAATAGCATTAACTGACAAGCACTATACTTGACTGCCTTAACTCAAGCTTAGATTGTTAGGAGCTTGAGGCCTGGAAAGTCTTCAGGGTAAATTGTATTTCATACAAAGATGTATTTAAAATATGTAGTTGGTATTCCATCAGGCTGCATGTTAATTCATATCCATCAAAACGTGAGCTGGGATACATTGTACCCAAAAGTGGCAGAAATTCTGGCACTGAGATTTCAGAGGTGTCACCAGAGTGCTTGGGGAGCATTGGCCAGATGTCATGGGCACCCTGAAAATTTTTTTGCCCTCTGAAATTACTGTCTGTAAACAGGGAATGAAAGTGGGGGTGAAGTAGGTGGCAGGGGCTGGTTGAAGGGGTTGGGGGTTCTCCTGAGTTTCATGTTCAGCACGAACAGGTAACAGGCACAAGATGACTGCACACGTTCATTTGTCGCAGCTAAATCCCCAGCCATTTCTCTCTGGCAGATCTGGTTCAGGCTCAGCATTGAGTTAACTCTGTGGCAAGTGTCTGTGACTGACCTCCCTGTGTTGAGTGGTCTTCCACCATTTCCTGTTCAGTGTTAGCACCCTTGCCTTTCTCCTGGGAACATGCTCTGTACCCCTGTGTAAGATGGCATGCCGAAGCTGAAAGAGTTTGGGCTTAGGTAAACCCAAGATGTGGGTTCCAGTGCTGGTACAGCACTGAGGGTCGGCTGACCATGGGCAAGCTTCGTGTCCACATCTGGACAGTGGAGACGATACCATTAGGATTAAGGGTAATGATGTATGTAAACTGCCCAGCACCTGTGCTCAGCAGACGCTAATCTCCTGTTTCCTTTTTCTTGACAAGCCTTTAGAGCTTCTTGGCTCCTTAGGAAGGCAGGGAAACAAGCCTCTGCTTTCTAGCACTCAGCTAGAAGTTGGGCTACCTGGCTTTGAGCTGGATCCTGCTGCTCCTTGTTTCGAGCACCATTTGGGGTCTGGGTCTTCCATTGAAAGAGCCTTGCATCATCTTCTGGAAAGTGTCTGTTGTCCCAGGTGCTGAACAAGAAGCTTTTAAGGGCATCTGTAGTCCCAGAATCCTGCTATGCTTGTTTTGCCTCTCCATGCTGAGGTTCAGTGACGCCTCATTTCTCATGTGCATCTGTCATAGTCTGAGTACCAGATTGTATTTAGAGAATGGCTCTTGCCACTGTTATGCACACAGAGATAGTGTGTGTAAACAAGCAAATTAAGTAAACTGGAGATAATGAAATCCCACATTCCATGTCTCGTGTGGTCTTTTCTAAAATCCTTGAGAAAGCCCGGAACCTGGAAAGCTCAGCCTACTTGATGACAATGATGAAGCTCTTACTTGAGCTACTTGCTACATAGTTTCATGACTGTACTCACTCTTTCTGTGTCCTAAATCCTACAAACTAAGTACATGCTTGGTCATACATCCCTTAGCTTGATTGACTTCTTCCCTCATATCCATATCTGAGGGTCCTGAGGTTTGGGTCAACGGGATTTGAGAGTTTTCCTGGCAGAAGAAGAGTTTCATGGAAGTAACACTGAAGAGGAGTTACAAAGTTTGTTCGCATGAGGTCAGCTGTGAAAGTGCCCTGTGCCCTGGAGGCCTAGACACATGTGACGGCTTTCTCTGCCTTTTAGTGCCCACTCATTTGTCAGCCTGACCTGCTTGGCACCGCGAGGTAGTGTCTGTTGAAAACTCCATGGCTCCAGGATTAGAAAAGCTCCTTACACTGCACAACTTCCCCATGCGGATTCCTTCAGTGGCACCAAACTTCTGAGTTCATGTATGAGCTGGGGGCTGATAGGGTAGGATACACCCCCTCTCTGCTGCAGTTTGTGGTCCAAAGTCCATGCCACAGGAGCTTCAGGTGTGTGCCAGGGTTTCAGAGGAAAATTTGACACATCTGTGCAGTTGAGGAATTTCCAGGCTTATGGAGAAGACACAGCAGGAGCCAGCAACCACCATCAAGCATTCTGAGTGCTGGGGCAAGGTTAGGGCCTGGGACCATAGAGCAGGGAACAACCAGCTGCCCTGGGGAATCGGAATATTTTCACGGAACGTAACTGCTCTTGTGGGTCTTGAAGGATGGGGAGGAGTTCAGGCACTTAGGCAGAGAAGGGAATTCCAGGAAGTGAGAATAGGATGCACAAAGGCATGAAGATAGACATACTGTGGTGATTTTTACCCAGACAGCACTTCTCAAGAGAACTGATAGTCCCCTTATTTTCAGGAGCAAGAGAACACATAGAAAGGACAGTCAGCGGAGGTGATGGATGGGCCCTGCTGTGATCTGAAGAGCACTCAGCTAGAAGTTCGGCTACCTGGCTTTGAGCTGGATCCTGCTACTCCTTGTTTTGAACTTTCCTGTGTAACTGGGAATTCATCACTCACCATCTCTGGCTCTCAGTTTCCTTATCTGATAAACAGCAGAAGTAGACTGAGTAATCTCACAACTCTTCTGGTCTATTCTGTTTCTCTATTCTGTTTGGCAAAGCTTCTCAAGCTGGTTATGACTCCTATTTCAGGAAACAACATGAAAAGAAACTTACTCAGAGCTGAGGCGGCAGCTGGTTTTCCAATGAGTGATGGAGGAGCCTACCTCTGGTTACTCTTTATTCCCGCCCCCCGCAACAGTCTGTTTCCATAGCCTAACACAGCTCAGACCTGATTGCATGTGTTCATCTGGACTTAACTGGACACTGGGGGGCTCAGCCTCATTCCCAGAGGGATGAACTGCAGAAGCCTTAAAAAAAAAAAAAAAAGCCTCTATACTCAAGCCATGTTTGACAGCCATAGGGGAAGGGAGGTTCTGTTAGGAGAAATCCTGTGCATTGTGGTCACCTTCTGAACTTGTCCCAGAAACCCCTCATCCAGTCTCTTGACAAGTTTTAAAATTGAACACACACAGCACAGAAAACAGGTGCTCTCATTCCCCGGGGAGAACAGGAGATGGCAAATTGGGACCACGTGTTTAGAAAGTAACATAGTCGTGTCCAAACTTAGAATGTCCAATCTCAGTCTAGGGCTGGAGGACTGTGGAAATGCTTGTGGAAGTGGGCAAACAGAAGTCAAAAGACTTTATCGCAGCTCTTTGTGATAGTGAAAAGATGTCAATGTTTGTTTAACTGATGCCAATCAGTCTAAACGAATTATGGTAACTGTATTAGGAACGTAATGCACTCCCTACAAAGAATCAAGGCTGTTGTATTTCTTGTGGAATCTGGAGGTAGGA